TGTAAATTGTAATTATGGAGCTTAGCTGAGCTATAATTACCCTTAAATGTCAAACTCCAAAAATTTATGATAACATTGTCTTTTGTCGAAATGTTGAAAAAGACGCATTTGTGAGAAGAGCAATTATTATATTGTAAAATGTATACTGCACACACGGCAGAACCATACAACGAATGCGTCCGAATTGTACATGTACCTTATGATAACATAACATCAACAACATGCATGATTGACTTGTTGGTAATAGTGAAGTTAAAAAAAAAGAAATGTGAAACTTCACTATTACCAAAAATCAATTTACAATTGTAGTACCACGGATTAGTTTGCAGTAGAGTAAAACAAAGGTGAGAATTAAGAACATGATTATCGACAGAAACTCATTTGTATTTGTTAAGGATTATTTAAGTATATAAATATACTTTAGTGAACTTAAGAACTTTACTTAATAAACTATTCGATTTTATGCCTCTAATGTTAAGTTTTCTTAAAAAAAAAAAATTAAGATCGTTTGGGTTTTAACTCGGGATACCCCATACCCTCCACAAAAATTCTCCTTTGACCTTTCATTATAATATATTATATTTTTCATTTATTTTTAAATAGAAAAAGTGGCTAATTACGATTTGATAATAGAGATATGAAATATTTACAGGATCCAACCACGAAGATCCGACCCAAACCAAGCAAACCGGTAAGATCCGACCCAACTATACCTAAACGTTGTCGTTTTTGTATTCCTTCAACTCTCCTAATTTTTTTCAAGTCTCAAACTCCCCTCTTTCTTTCGCGATAGAAACAACGACGAACCCTAAAACCTTGATTCCTCAATTTTCTTCGTTTCTTCTTCTTTCTCTGTGATAATCGAGTTCGCCCGTCTCCGAATTGACTTCCTGCGTATTCGTAAGTGGTTTATTGTAGTTGATTTCGTCGTAATTTTTATTTTAGGATAGATAAAAATTGGAGGAAACTTGTAACTTGTAAACGAAACTAATTGTACGATTTTCGTATGGGTTTTGAGTGAATAAGTTGAATCCTTGTTAAACCCAAGATTAAAAATAAGGAAGAAATTGTAGCATATGAATCGGGTATGTATTCAATTGGGATTCAAAACTATGTTTGTTTTATATGTTATGAAAAATGAAAATAAGTTTGGTTTTGAGATAAATGTAGTGAGGAGAGTCGGTGTAGTGATTGATATTACCATGGTTTAGAGTTAATATTTTTTGATTGGATGTTTGATATGTGAAAGTGAATTGTTGATGATACTTAATTGATGTTGTGTTGTTGTTTGCGGTTTGAATTTAAGTTTTTGAGTCTTGTAATGTTTTATACAGGAAAGTTATGAAGGAGGCAAAGAATAAGGGAGTACCTAATGAAATACATGGATTTTGGACAATGGGATGGTATGGACTATTATCCAAACGAAGGGAAGGACAAAGATGATGCTGAGCAAGAGGATGGGAAAAATAAGGATGACAACGACAATGTTCAGCAAGAGGCTGAGAAACATGATGAAAAGGGTGAGGCTAGGAAAGACAAGGATGACATCAACAATACTCAGCAAGAGGCTGAGAAACATGATGAAGAGGGCGAGGCTGGGAAATACAAGGCCACTGAGTCTGATGAGAAAAGCGGTAGTGAGACAGAAGAAATATGGAGGTTGAATCAAGTAAAAGAGGCTGGGAACTCCAACACCACCACGTGGTAGGACTAAGGCAATGGCTGCCTGGAAAACGCCATCTGGTATAGGCAAGACATCTAGAAAAAGAAAGTCTGCTAATCCACAGAAGTGGATACTGCCAGCAGGGGTGGAAGAACCTACTGTGGAAGAAGCTGAAAAAAGGTGAAGAGCATGCTGTGGAAGAAGAAGAAAAACACACTGATGAACCTATTGTGTAAGAAAAAGAAAAAAAAATCTCTGATGAGCCTGTTGTGGATTCACCTTCTGTTCAAGAATATACTGAGGAAGAAAAAAAAAAGTTGGGTCATGGTTGTTTTACAAGGGCTGTGAGGAGAGGACGGATAGGACAGATGAGGTCAAAGAAGTTGGGTCATGGTTGTATGCTTTTCGATGTTTAAAACTTGGTTAAATGCTTTATTTTTGATTTTGGAAGTTTAAAACTCGGTTTAATACTTTGTTTTTGCTTTTTGATGTTTAAGACAGGTTTGGAAAACTAAATTTATAGGTGTTACTCTGCCCAAAAATAAATTGCTGGGATAATTGGAATTACTGGAATTACTGGAATTACTGGATTTATTGTAATACAATAAAATTAAAGCAAAAAATAGAAAACACATGTAAAACGCCTAAATAAATATATATATAAAATGAATTAATAATGAATTTCACATTTAAAACGTGCAGCCGTCATATTTCACATGTAAAACGAGCAGCCGTCATATATAGATTAGTATTATGTTTTGCACTTAGTAATACATCAAATAATCATCAAGGTTGTAGTAATACTACTATACATATAGTAATATTTTGAGAATTTTCAAGTTAATCTAGTTAAACCATCACAAACTTGAAGGTTTTGTAGTAATTCGGATGCTTTTACCTAGTAAATCTTTTTAAGGAAGCCATTTACAACAACAAATTACCAAGAATACGTATTTTGAAAAATTCTCCTTACTATACTAGAACCATTCACACAATACCATAGAAACTTAAGGATGTTTTTTGGGAAACTGGTAATCTTTTTCTTAAATTGAAAATAATGATCAAAATAGTCTAAATGTACATATTTATCATAGATATAGTCTACGAATCGAAAATAATCATAAAAATAGTCTAAATTTACATCATAAACAATTTTGAAAAACCGTTCAGAATTTTTTTAAGCTATTGAAAATAATCATCAAAAATAGTTTAATCTCTATATATATTATATACGTAGCCTAAGAAGTGAAAATAACCATAGAAAATACGATGATAAAAACTTTACCTAGGGATATATATATATATATATATATATTGGTTTCGAATTGTACATAATAATACAAGTAATACCTAGTAGTCTAAGTTGCACATAATAACTCCAGTAATCCGTAGTAGTCCAAATTGCACATAATATAACCAGTAAAACTTAGTTTTCCAAATTACAAACCACAAATCTCTTAGTATCCGACTTAATTATATCAATTCAAAAGATTTCTGATATAACGCCGTTTGAATAAGAACTTTTGCTGCCTCCTTGGTTATAAATTCTTGACTTATGACCAAATCCATACCATCATGCATCTCAATGTCTTCGTGAAAAGTGAGCTCACTACTATTACCATCCTCATCATCAGCCTCTATAGTCTCTTTATCAGACATACCGACATAGACATCAGTTTCATCATTCTCAGTATCATCCTCATCACCAACCTCTATAGCCTCTCTATCAAAACAAATGATTGTGTAATGCGGATTTTGCATCTTCCTGAAATAAAATAGAATATCATTAGAGATATCATTATTAAGATGCTTAGAATTAATTCTCACACAGTAAAATCTTCTATTACTAATACTAATTTATTTCAGTACTATATATAGTAATACTAATAATACCAGTCAGAATTCTAAATACAGTAATTCTAGTAAAACTATTTTTCCTTAGTAAAACCAGTTATCTCAGTAATACCCAGAATTTATCCTTGTACTAACTAATCCGCTTTTAGGACAATATTATTAAGATTTTATATTACCCATGATGTATAATTCATCTTAAATGAAATTACACACATAAAATCATCAAAACAAACATAAAATATACCCAAAATCTGTAAACCCAGTTTTCAAAATCTTTTTTAATCTCTCATAATTTGCGCTGAAACTTTTTTTTTTTTAACATTAGCCGAGATATACACTTGTTTTTAATAATATTTCAGCAAAAAAAATCATCAAAACGAACATAAAATATACCCGAAATCCCTAAACACAGTTTTAACTTCGTTTTCTAATCTCTCAAATTATCATCTAATCGTACATTTTATACACTACCCAGGATATACACGACATTTAAATGTTATTTCACAAAAAAAATCACCAAAAACGAGCAAGAATTAACTGTTTTTGGAAGCTTCAAATTCGACAATGGAGGTTGAGGAAGAAGAGAGAATACTGTACGTGGAAGAAAAAGAGATGTGGGCTACATAAAATCTTATTGGTTAAAGTTGTTTTGTAGCCCATATAGGTAGATGAATTATAGTTGATTTAACTAATTGAAGAAATAAATGAAAGGTTATTTTGGAGAGTGCAAGGATAAAAGGGTAGGAAGAATAGGGTTAGGTTAGTAAGCATTAATTTACGAGGGTATGGGGTATATGAAGTTAATTCCCAGATTGTTTGCTTAGTTTGAATATGCTTGTTTGTGTTAGGTTGTGGTTAGGATTTTTTTTTGAAATTAGGTATTCTTAAAAAAAAAAAAATCCTAACCACAACCTAACTCAAACAAGCATATTCAAACCAAGCAAACAATCTTAACATTTTGACATGAATCTAACATATTTATTACCAAATAAACAATCCTAACCACAACCTAATTCAAAGGCGTTTTCCTTAACCACAACCTAACTCAAACAAGTATTTATCAAGAAGAACAGTAAAAAAAAGGAAGAGTTGAAGAAGAGTAAAGTTTTGGTCGATTACCTCAACTCTCAACTCGGTGTAGTCATTGTCGGAGATCATAGCCTGCTACCACGTCTTCCCTGCTGCCTTGATTGCCAAAGCCTCCCCCTCTCAGATTAGAAACAAACACTTTACACAAACCACACTCTATATTAAGGTTCAAAATTATATATATATATATATATATATATTCGAAAACGTTATACAAGAAAATCATGTCTACACCTACTACGATCTGGAAGTAAATACGTTCACAGGTACAGAGAAGAAACCACAATCAAAGAGAACATTCAAAGCGGCCCAAAAAAATCAAGCAGTTTTAAAATTAAGGAGAGAGAAAAAGAACAGAGAATCAGATAGTCGACAGAAACACACAAAAAAGATTTCAGTTCTGTTCTTGAGCTTCTGCAGACTCCTTGTCTTCATTGGCTGCAGCCATTAACTCATCAAACTTCTCAGACTTGGCCAGCGTTATCTCAATCTACAAACCGTGAAGCCACATAATTAGCTTAACAATGTAGCAGTTTCCCAAAAGAAAAAAACACAGCAATAACTAATAATGTCTGTAGAAGATAGAATCATAGCTCGGGTAACAAACCCCATGGATACATAATCACATAAATCAATAGCGAATCCATAGATTTCAACCTCATATGCAATCGATTTTGTACCTTGGAGAGATTGACGTAGAAGAACAATGGCTTCTTAGTGTTAGAAACCTTAATCCGATTCTTCCTCTGTGAATCAACAACCAAGCTCATGTTGTTAACTCCTTATGTGATCCCTTACATTGATAATTAAACTCAAGATTAAACACTTCTCCTTTAACCTTAACCCTATGTGCCTCAGCCAACAAAGACATCCGCTTCGCCGTTATTGCATACGGGTTAAACTTCAACATCACATTCAATTCTTCAAAGGATTCTTCTTCATCACAGCCGTCTTCGCATCCTTCTTAATCGGCTTCACCAGACTCTGCACCTCTTGAATCAGACAAAGGAATAAGTTTTATGCGCAAAAACAAGAGAATAATCAAAAGAGAGTGAAAGAATCTCACGAGAAAACAAAAATTGCAGTGGTTTCCAGCTTTTTTTGTCTTCTCATTGAGAGCGTAACGGATGTAATCAAAGACTTTGGTCGGAGCGAACATGCATCCGGAAAGCACAAATCACAGTGGATGCTTCTCATTGTCTTCTAGCGGAGAGAACGAGAGAACGGAAAAGAAAAAAAAGAGGAGAAAAAAAGAAAAAAGAAAAATATATGTATCTGTGATGGGAAGCTAAGAGCATGTACATCGGCGTACATTCGCCTCGTCCTTCCATTTTTTTTTTCGAAATTTAAATGAAAAAGAAAATAAAATGAAGTCCACGTTCCTTAAACGGGGACGATTTTGTGTCATCCACTTTGCCACGCGTCGGATTGTGAGTGGGAGAGCTCGTGGAGTTGAATGCGGCCGTTTTCATTTTCGCGAAAATAGGGCTTCTTTTTCTCTCTTCTCTCTCGACGGCGACTCCAAGGGCGACTGTGTCTTCTCCGTAGAAACCAGTAGATTAGCCGGCGATTTGCCTCCTCTGGTCGATATCATCAGTCTTTCTCTTCATTTGGAGCATCTGGTGTCGTTCCGACCGTTCCAATAGCGCGAAGAAGGTATGTGGCCGTCCCATCTGTTTTGCGATTTTAGGGTTTCGTTGTGATTTAGCTATTAACGATGGTTCGACACAAGGTATATGTGGGATTCGATTGTTTTCGTTGTCTTAGGGTTGGCGAATCAAAAGTAGTTAGGGTTTACGCGAATGAAAAGTAATTAGGGTTGGCGAATCAAATTAGTAATTAGGTATTTCTGGGTTTGTTGTGTTCTTCCGTATGTGAGAGTCGTTTGGTTTTCAATTTTATTGTTGTCTAAACTTTATTCTCTTTTAACTCATTAACATATTGTCTGTTTGATCTTCTTCTATTGACTAACACTGTCCTCGTTTTTTTTTGTTTTCTTGAGTTGCATCTAGGTGAGCTTAAGCACACTACGGTTTAGGGTTCCAGGCAAGTGAAGAACCTTTGCATTCATCGACACTCATCACAGGTAATCTTCAATACTATATGTCTTGTTGTTGAATGGTGTAGTTAGATTTGACTATGGTTTGGTGCTTGTTTGGTTGTTGTAGTGTAGTTAATATGCATTGTCTTGTGTCTCTTTGCTTTGTTAACAAAACTAGAACTAAAGTTAAGACAACTAAAGTAACTAAAGTGTAGTGGTTAGGAGGCTAATGTAATGTAATCTATAGACTCTTGTAATCGGATTGTCTATCTCAAGACTTTGTACTCTGCCTTTGTACTCATGCATTTGTACTAATGTTATTTATGACTGGGATTTTGTATGCTTCTGCCTCACGGGTTTGGTAAAACAAAACACGGAACATCAACATGACAAAACAACAATTCAAAGCACTAGCTATCCTTTCCCATCAAGTATACTCGTGACTCACGGGAAGTAACAAAACAAAACAACAAAAAATATATTGTCAAATGTATTGACCAAACTTGAACATTGAGATCTTCACGACACAATATATATATACGACCAAACTTGAACTAGAACCACACCAAGAACATTCAAAAGCTCCATTTCGTCTCTCTCTTTGCTGTTTCTCTCTTTCTCTTTTTTCAAATGGGTTCATCTTCAAACCATTATCATTACCAGAGAGGTGATGGTGATCATTTTGATGCTTATTTCCAAAAATTTTACGAGAATTCTAATATTATGCCAGAACCGGAAGAGCGAAAGAAACAGATTTTTATCCAAAGAAATCGGGAAGAAGGCCACAATAATCTTTGGAATGATTATTTCAGCGAAACTCCAACATACCCAGAATATTTATTCCGCCGAAGGTTTCGCATGCACAAGTCATTGTTCATGCGTATTGTGCATCGACTCTCAACCGAAGTCCAATATTTCCAACAATCCCATGATGCAACCCTACGGGCTAGTCTTTCACCTATTCAAAAATGTACCGCAGCAATTCGAAAATTGGCATATGGTGCTGCGTCTGACTCAGTTGATGAGTATATACGAATTGGTGCTTCTACAGCTCGGGAATGTTTGCACGAGTTTACCGCCGCAATAATCCAGTTGTTTGGAGATGAATACCTAAGACGTCCAAGACCGGATGACCTAGTTAGACTACTCTATGAGAATGAACAACATGGATTTCCCGGGATGATAGGGAGCATTGACTGCATGCATTGGGGATGGAAGAATTGTCCCACGGCTTGGAAAGGGATGTATTCACGATCAACCGGGAAACCTACAATCGTGTTGGAGGCGGTAGCTTCGTATGACCTCTGGATTTGGCATGCCTTTTTTGGAGCTCCAGGTACTATGAACGATCTTAATATTCTTGATCGATCTAATGTTTTTGATGACATTATTAACGGTCAAGCTCCCGAAGTCAACTTCTTGGTCAACAGAAGTGAGTACAATTTGCCATACTATCTCACTGATGGTCTTTATCCAAAATGGGCCACTTTTATTCTAGCGATTAAACTTCCACAAGGTATGAAAAATTCTCTATTTTCTAAAAAAACAAGAAGCAGTGCGGAAAGATGTTGAGCGTGCCTTTGGAGTCTTGCAAGCTAGATTCGCTGTTGTTAAAAATCCATCACGTTTATGGGATAAATACAAAATGGCGAATGTTATGCGAACATGCATAATACTCCATAATATGATTGTCGAGGATGAACGTGGTACATACACGTACCGAAACGTTGTGCAAGAATTTGGACTAACTTCGGACATCTTCCAGATAATGGAGATTAGTTTTAAAATTTCTATGAATTGAATAAAATGTTTGTTTTCACTTTTCCATGTTTGTATGTTTTATGTGTTTTATATTATGTCTTTAATGTATATTTTTATTTTTATTAAATCTATAATATGTTTTTAATTTTTAATTAAAATAATTAATTCCTAAACTTTAAAAATAATAATATTTTAATCGGGAGACCAAATAATTAAGAAACACAAATGTTCATACACAATATAAGAAACTTGCAGAAAATTAATAAAATATTTGGGGGACCAAATCTTGGGGGACACTAATGCCCATGCTCTAACACGTGCGATAAGAACTTGTTTGGTTATCGATTTCTAGAATCCTTCTTTAAAGATCGGTAACAGTTTTTTTTATTTTGTTTCGATTTAATTAAATCCTACATTAACACTAAAAATCCTCTTAAGAAACCCCAATAGTGCTGTTCTAAGATATTTTCTTCTATGTGGTTTGGTGGCTGCTCTGCTCAGAGAGTTCTGAACCATTACTATAGTATATTCATCATTAGTCATTCAGTCCAACTACAACGATCTATCAATGGTTGGTATCCATGTTATTTTGAATATACCTATCTATTTTCTAAATATAATACGTATACAAATATATAAAATAGAAAAATATGGATAAAGTTAAAGTACGATATTCTTACATATATTTATTCTTTTCAACTTAGACACCAATCACACCCAAAATAAAGAGGTCACACAAAAAAGAACGTTACTTCTTGTTGCATTACAAAACATATTGATTTGACTTATCAGAAATTAACTGGTCTGATGTTGCCTGACGATATATCAATGAATTGTATTCGTTTCATTGTCATTGAATCTAGTCACAAATATGATACCTTAATTGGAGCCTGTGAATTCGATGGGAACATTTTCTTACTGCAAACAGTTTGTACATACAATTGATAATTATTATGAACAGTTTTACCCTGTCCCATTTACTGCATGTGAAGTGGAATTTAGATAATGCATATCAGCAGGTTTAAATCATTTCAAAATGTTATCTAAATACAGACCACAAAGACTATCCAAATAGCTCTCTCTTTAAATAATAACACTCCATGACGACAAAACTGCACGTTATGCACCAAATTCCATATACAGAACATTAATTTATAACTTTAAAGTTAATCTTGCTACGAAAAATTAACGAAGAGTCTCTATACTCGTATGTTTGTGTCTAAACCTTATAGAGCTTATATCTGAAGCTATCTTCCTTTTCAAGCAAATGGTCCCAAACATGTCGGACATTGAAGTCACCAGACAAATAAAAATCAAACACCTTTTGAACAAAAAAAAAACTGAGACCTCCATATCAATTTGTGTTTGATTGAAACTAAAAACAGAACCTGATCATTAAAATCGACTCGGTTATATTAAAGACAGAACTTCCATCTGTCTGTAGGACACTTGGACTGAACCAATGATATGACTTAGCCTTAGCTAGTGGCATCTTCACGGAACAAAGATTGAACTGTTAGGAATGGGAGGGGCCGCGCGAACGCATGCCCCCACTGCCACAAATAATGACGCAGGCTCTCCCACTTGGGGAGACCTTAAGCTAAGCACCCTTCCTTAGTGTGCAATGGAAGTCACTAGCTTAGGCCACTCATCTTCTTGATCAAGAGTTGACCCCGTCCAGGTAAGTACCTTTCTCGGTTCGTCCTTCGTCTTATTTTATACAACGCAAAAGACTATAGTTTTCTTCCCAAAATTCCGATGTGGGAAAACAATGTTATCTTTACTTTTTGGGCCTAATGATTGATATATCGGCCCAGATCAAACCCACTTGAGTATGCTTTTTTTTTTGTTTCTCTTGATGCAATAGCTATGCTTCGTACTAGTTATTGTTTCTCAACGATGCGATCTTCTGAAAGGAAAAATCCAAAAATAAATTTTTTCACAATAAAAAAATTAGAAAAGTCCAACCTTCATAGTATATTATTTTGCTTAATGAGCTCGTGGGTATGATTAGCTGAAGGAGATGAGGGAATGAACTCATTTTGATACTCTTATGTGTCACAGAACTTTTTGGCATCAGTTGTCCGTGTCGCCAGTACTAAACAGAGAGCTCATCAAGCTTTAAGAGTTCCAAATCGTATTAGAATAAGCAATCTTTTTCTAACATCTAAGTCATTTTGGTCTTAAACCATGTAGCTGTCAAGCATTTCAAATTTATTTTCTATAGATCTAAAATGAGAACTTATTCTAGCACAGCTTCTTTGCTTGACTAAAAACACCAGGCTCTCTGTATGGTAGAAATTGAGGATCTTAATATGTATTCATAGAAAGATAAGTTGTCACGGATGGCCAAAATCATCCAATCACGTTTCTGAATATGAAAACAGATCATACCAAAGGTCCGAAGCTCCATATACCAAACCATCCCCTACAATCTTAAACCTGTTGTTCAAATTTTGAACTTTTTAAATTGGAAGAGGCCGCGCGAACGCAGGCCTCCACTGCCACAAATTATGACGCAAGCTCTTCCACTTGGGAAGACTTTAAGCTAAGCACCCTTCCTTAATGTGCAATGGAAGTCACTAGCTTAGGCCACTCTTCTTCTTGATCAAGAGTCGACCCCATCCAGGTAAGTACCTTCAACGGAAGCGCCACCTTCTCTTTTATACTACGCCATAGACGAGTTTCATATAATGAAGCTTTCGATGTGGGATAGATGTTTGCAGACGTTATCTTCAAGGCAGGCTTTCGTTTTATTAATAAACCTAATTTTATACTTTGATGGGCCTCAACGAAGGCCCTCCTCATGAGTAATATCTTGTCCAGAGATAACCCGATTTCACTATGTTCTGATCAATGCCTTTCAATATGTTCCACAAAAAAATTAGCTCGTGATTTCCTTTTCTTAAATAAAGTTTCTGAACATGTATTTTTTTTTTCCCTGAACCGAACCCATACTATCCCAAAACTAGTTATGTTTAGAATGACAGTCACTTTACCGTTGTATAAAACGACAAACTTTGTCTCCCTCAGTATACAAACCAGGTCACGGTAAGTCGGTAACAACTCCTATCAAAAAAAAAAAAAAAACTCCTATCATCTCAATGAAACAAGAACTCCTACTAGTTGGAACATTGTTACTACGATCTCATAGTTAATCTGATCCTTTTCAACAACACAAAAGTTGTGATATCATCATCAACGAAAAGAGGCCAAGAGTTGAGTCAATAACTCGTAAATACATTACATAAATATTTTTCACTAATACCGATCTCCACCACGCCACCACCTCGACCTACATTCCACGAAAAAAAAAATCATTGGTTGCATTGTAATAGAAAAAATAAAAAGTAAAATAAAAACATTGCTTTTATTATGTGTGTAACTCTATAAAGAATAAAAAATAAACAATAAATCTCACCAAGACTGTTCCCATCCGGGTCGAGACTTGGACATGCCGTAACGTCCGTATGGAAAACCGTAGTGTTGAGGGCGTTTGGCGTTTTTAAACGCGCAGCAACCAACGCAGTAAATGGCGATTAGGAAGAGAACAATGACAACATTAACTATAGATAGTTTATGCCAATCTCGCCGCACTGTCTCCAAAACGCCAGCTCTACACGAGTCACAGTCGTAGCACAGCACGGTCGCAGCGTTGTTCCACCGGTAGCAATCCGAATCTTGCTGTATCGGCGTATCCGTGTTGTACACGCACGACGTCGGTGGTTTGCAGCATCCAGACTATATATAAAACTATGATTATTATCCGAAATAAGTATATGCCAATATTCGTGTTAATTACAACATAGATAAAAGGAGTACCTGAAGAGGAGTCAAATCCTTTTGGAGATAATCAATAGGAGTCCAAAAAGAGAGCTTGGAACAAGTGAGTGAGCCCAAGAGACAAGTCTTTATAGTCAACCAATAATTAGCATCCATAACCCTTGTTTTAAGCCATGGATGATACTCTTCAAGCTTAAACTCTCTATAAACCCTACCAGTCACACCCACACCACCACCATGGTTAGTTACAATAAACCCAAAAAGGGTCAAACCCATGAGCGCAACTATGATGAAGACCATGAAGAAGAGGTACACCCACAAGACCCAAGCCACGTCACAGCATGCACCTATCAGACCAGCTAGTGACAAGACCATTATTGCTAGGCCTAAGACCAGAAGTGGCTTCTGAAGAAAATGCTCGCATGTTGTCTTGCTCCGACCCATCCATAGAGCTGATCCTATTATAACGATGGAGGAGATTAGTGTTAGGATATTCAAGAATCCTATCACTGTATTGCTCATTTTGTTCATTTCTTCTTTCTCTTTTAATGTAATTATTTTTTTTGGAATTATTCTTTGGTGTGTGTGTGTGTGTGTTTGTACTCGTTTTTTCTTACTGGTTTGTCTCTCTCTCTATATATATATCTTAATCACATATGCTTCTGCCACTTTATATACTTGACAGTTTTATATATGACTAATATAAAACATTTTTGTTGGTATATACACATTCACACGTATATTTGATTAAACTTCAAATAAATAAACTCAGAGATAACAAAAGAAAAAAGTTGATGAAACTATTCTCTTATCTTTTTATCTAACTTCTTGGTGTTTGCTACTTTTTATGTGATAGTGTATGTGTCTTCACTTCTTTAATTTCATCACTTTTGAATTTTGATGAGTGGCTTTACCTTTTTCTCAATAATTCTTTTTTGTTATTTTGTAGATTTGAGTCTTTGACGCTTTATTTCATACCAATTCAAAATGTTGGTTGAGAGACCTTTTCTTCAATATACGCTTTTATGTTTTCTTTTTGGCTGGAACTTGGCGATTAAGAAACCTCTCTCACCTCGACTATCTATACAAAAGTCCATACTTCGCAAGTGGGATAATCATAAGCAAAGCTTCTTAACCATTAAGTATCTTTCCCCGCCCAACTTTTATATCATTTTGGTTCATGGATTAATCTAAACTTGAATATATGTGGCCACAATTCTGAGAACTTTGAATGTATCATACAACTTTGATCGTTTAACATGTCTTATATATCAACTACAGTAACATCATCATCGGTAACATTCATTGCTTAAAGGGTTTTGTTTTTGAATTACAAGATATTCTATGCTAATCAACATTCTTTTCTTGTCACAATCAACCATTTAACCACTATTTCACCATTGTCAATTTTTCATTGGTCTCAGGGATTAGGTAGAAAGTTTAAGGTTTTTCGGAGAAAAAACAATAAACAATTCTGTCCATTACTTGTCAGATAAGTATAAATGGCCCGACTTATAGGAGCAAAGCAACATGTATTTAGAACATCTCCAAAAATCTCTCGATTTAGAATTTGTATTTGAAGTTTAAAAGTGTTATGCTTCAAAAGCAAAACTTCAAACTTAATTTAAAACTAATTTTATTTTGTACTACAGTCCTTATACTTGTCATAACTAATTTAAATTCATATAACTTTTATAAATAACTAATCATATATATATAAATATTACAGCAATATTAATTGAAAAATGTTATACTAGAACATAAAATTATAAATAGAAACATCTAATTAAATATTAAATTACAAACAAAATATCACATCAAATCTTGTAATATTGTTGTTGTATAGTTCTAATTTTAACATATTTTAAATCTTATCTTGATGTTTTCTTTATAAAAAATTATGTAAAATTTTAATTTATAAAAATAATTTTGAAATTATTTATGAGATACAAAATTTTAAGGATTAAAACGATAAACAAAAAATATTTAAGAATTATAAATATGATGTGTAATTTTGTAAGAACCAAAATGTAAATAAAATATGAAACTTCAAATTTGAAGTTTTGAGTAGTGACACTTTATATTTAAAGTCTCATTACTCAAAACTTCAAATTTGAAGTTTTAGAGTTCCTTTTTTGAGAACCAAAAACTTCAGATGTGAAGTTATAGTATCTTTTGGAGATGCTCTTAGAGCACCATTAACATAAACTCTTAAATGGGTGTCTTAATGTAATTAGGATTAAAAAAGAAAGAAAAAGAAATAAAAATCTAAGGTATCTTAAGCAGGAGGTAGAAGATACACCTCTTAGAAGACACATGCTAGATTCTAATTGGATTGAGGAAAGGTGTCAATCTCTCTCTCAGTCCCCCGACTTCTCTCTGTTCCTCCTCCGTGCGTTGCAGAACGTCCACCTCTCTCTCGCCCGACCTGAGAAGGTAGCTTAAAGTTTCTTCCTTTGTTGCTAGGGTTGCTGGATCTCTCTCTCTCTCTCCAACTATGTATGTCTCTTTCAATGTCGCATCCTTGATCTTTGTTAGCTTCATCACTGTTGTCTCTAATGATGTGTTTAGGTTCAAAATAAGAACTTGGAGGTTTAAGACATGAGGAGTTAATGTCGGCTACGAGAGGAGGTCCTGACCAAGGACCGTTCCAGCCACAGTAGAGACGGATCGTACGGCAGTTCAAGACTGCTCTTCTACATCGTCTTGAAAGAAAATACGTCTCAATTTTATTAAAAAATGCACCATTTTGCTAACTGTGTGAAAAGGCGATAGAAAAGGCGATCAAGGTTCTCAAATCTCCGCTGTCATCACTGGCAATAGGAGATGGATTCGACGGCGGGTCAGGGTGATCATCCGGTTCTGGTAAGGCAGAAGTCATGGGTTGCGGTAGCGAAAGAGAATAAGGTCTTGAAGAAGTACGATCTGGATATCTCAGGTTCAAAAGGGAATCAATCAGTTATAGTACCATAGGAGATAGTTGAAGAAGCAAATCCGCTATGGGAAGATTTCGTGATAGCACAATTTATGGAAACGACTCCACATGTGGCAAAGGTACATGTGATTCTAAACAAAATCTGGAAATTTGGGGACAAGATGCAAAAGATCGATGTGTATGAAATGGATCCGGTAAAGATGAGGATTAGGGTTCCGAATGAAGTGATAAGGGAGAAGATCATAAGAAGAGGTATGTGGAACATTGCGGGGGTTCCGATGGTTGTTTTTAAATGGTCACTGTGAGGGATAAAACTCACTTCCTAATTTAGATCAGGTTTAGATTGGAGAGAAGATAACGTGGGCCGAATCCCGTTTAGAACTTAGAGAATGAATTATGATTGTATTGATGTTTTTGGTAAAGAGATGATTAAAAACGTAACGATTGCGATTACAAAGAATAAATAACGTTTTTAGAATTCTCGAATATGTGAAAATGATTAAAATCCGGACCCCTGGTTCTGATCTCCTCCTCCTCTTTAAATAGCTCTCAGCCACGCTCCAACGATCTTAGCTAACCTCCGAGATTTGCTCTGTGAGTTAGGGGATTCTCAATAGTCTCCTTTTGACCGGGTCCTGCGCATCAAGCCTGAGCTACTCCCATTAGCTCTTTCTGAATGAGGTCCGGAGTTCTTTTCCGTGACCTGTTTTGGTAACGTTTCTTCCTTGGCAAAACAGCCTCCGGCTTGTTCTTAACTCCTTTCTCAAAGATTTAATTGCTAATGGGCTTATAATAGCCCATTGTCAACTCTTATTACTCGAGCCCGTTAATTTCAGCTAACGGGCCATATTTGGGCCCAACAGTTGCCCCCAGCTTTCGAGAGAAAACACTTTATCTCGGAAGCTAAACCTAGCCACCGAATCTTAACCTTTTTGCTGAGATAATGATTACCCGTTATCTTTTTCGAGGATATCCCTTATCTAATCCGACGGCTATGATTATGTTTAGTGAGATCAACGGCTCAGATAAAATGAATTTGAAATAGTTATCCCCCGATTTTCGAGACTCGACGGGATATAAAGCTGCCTACATTAACTGCAACTCTCCCCACCTTCTCCACGTCTCGATTCGGTTCCCAGGTAACTTCCTCTGGTTTCTCTATTTTACTTTCTTTCGCTTTCATTATATGTATTTGTTTATTTTATTAAGCTCTGTCTCGGAAAATCTCTTTCGAAATTCTTTCTCCCTGAGACTTTGATCCATTAGTTCGATCTTTCTTTTTCCTTTCTTATCTCCTTCGATTTCTTTCATCGTTTCTTGCTATGACCCGACCAAAAGAAGGTTCTGGAGAGACGGGAATCTCTGCTACTGGTGCTCAACTTATGAAGGTGAAACAAGAAGTCGGTGAAACAATGAGGAAGACCGAGAGGAAGAAGAGGGCTAAGGAGTCGATAGCCCAGAGAGTTTCCAAACGAACGAAAAAGACCGAGGGCTCCAGCGGGAGTGCTCCCTCCGGATCTCACCCAACCTCCGTACTAAAGAGCCAAGAGGTTGTGAACCTTATGGTTCAGGCCCAAGGTCGGAGGGAGTTGCTGAGGGCTTGTAAACCCGAGAAGACCCCCGAGACGGCTCCGTAGGGTTGGTTCTGCGTTCACGAGAACTATATTTACAAGAGCCACCTTAGGTTTCCTCTCCTTGGCCTCTTGTTAGACCTTCTATATCATTATCAACTAGCTCTTTCCCAACTTTTTCCCTCGGTTATTCGAGTGATAAACAGTTTCATCACTATATCCAAAGAAGAGGGAGTTGCTACCGGGCTTAGCTCCCTAATGAGCCTGTTCTTGATAAAGGAGAGTGCTTCCAAAGAAGGTGGTAGCGGGACCTATTACCTTCCTTGTTGTCCCAGGTTGGGTATTTTCAAATTTTCTAGCAGTGATGACGATTGGCGGAAGAAGTATTTCTACGTCAAAATTGATCCTTCGACGGTTCCTGCGGGTCGTGCCCTTAGGACTTCTTGGTCCGATGCGTCCGGTTAGGATTTCTTAGGAATGTGCTCGTTTATTTTTATCAATTGTGACCTGATAGATGTTTGGTTTTGCTTGCAGACATCGAGGATCCTGCTGTACTCCCGAGCAAGCTTACCAGAGCTCTCTTTCAAAAGTGGCAGCAAACTCCCTGTACCTGGGCGTCGTACACCACTTCTCGAATAGGATCAGCTAGATTCCCAGATCAGTAGAACGCTTCCTTCCTAAACCATGTGCCAGTCACATACTTAGAAGGTAATGTGCTTACTCTAACGTCTTTGACGCGTGTAAGCTTATTTTAAAATACCCGAGTACTGAAGGAAATTTGGTAATGCAGTTTCCGAAGGTAACTCGGTGGTATCAATTTCAACGGGAGCTAGCACTTACGGGACCGAAAAGACCCAATCAGCCAAGATGCCTCTTCAGCCGTCATTTCGTTCTAAGGTTAGGCCGGTAAAAGCAGCTAGCACCTCGCGAGGGAGCGAGAAGAATCAGGGGGGTTCTTTCCTGAGTTTTGTGAAGGAGGTTCTCGATGATGGAGCTTCTGCTCCAGCTAAGGATGTCAACCCCGTTGAAGCACATGGAGCTCAGGATGTAGTCTCACGCTCTGAGGTTCAGGTTATGGAGACCGATCCTCAGACGATCA